ATTGGCCTGTAGTTCTCTTTTATGGTTGGGTCTTTCCCTGGTTTTGGAATCAAAGTAACACTTGCTTCCAGGAATGAATTTGGAAGTATTGCTTCCATTTCAATTTCATTGAAGAGTTTAAAGAGTAGTGGCAATAGTTCCTCTCTAAATGTCTTGTAGAATTCAGCAGTGAAGCCATGAGGACCTGGGCTTTTCTTTGTTGGTAAATTTTTAATTACATTTTCAATTTCAGTGATTGTAATTGGGGTGTTTAGAATTTTTATATCTTCTCCGTTCAACTTTGGTAATTCATATGTATCTAGAAACCTGTCCATTTTTTCTGTGTTTTCCATTTAATTAGAGTACCGATTCTCGAAGTAGGTATTGATGATCCTCTGGATTTCTGCTGGATCTGTTGTGACTTCACCTTTTTCATTCCTAATTGCATGGATTTTAGCCTTTTCTTTCCTTCTTTTGATAAGATTGGCTAAAGGTTCATTGATTTTATTTATTGTTTTGAAAAACCAACTCTTTGATTCATTGATTTTTTTTTGTATTGTTCTCTTAGTCTCCATTGCATTGATTTCTGCTCTGATCTTTATAACTTCCTCCCTTGTACGAGCTTTGGGTTTGTCTTGCTCTTCTTTCTAGAAGCTTAGGATTCAGCATTAAGTTGTTTATTTGAGCTCGGTCTGTTTTCCTAGTGTGGGCATTCACTGCTATGAATTTCCCTCGTAGAACTGCTTTCATTGTGTCCCATAGATTCCTGTATGTTGTATTGGGACTATCATTTAATTGCAAAAACTGTCTATAATTTCTTCTTTAAGCAAAACATTCTTAACAATGAGTTATAGCCCAGCCTTCATTTATCATTCTTCAAAATGAATATTATAATATTTTTACTTTATTCACAGAAGAGTTATTACAGAGAAATTTTTAAGAAGATGATAAAAGTATTTTGAAGAGTGAAAATGTGTTGTACAAATGAATGTAATCTTGTTTGTTTATGGCTAGTGCTGGTAAATAGTGAAATTATTAATAATGTTGAAATTTGTACTACATGATCTGGGCTCAGAAGAGTTTGCATAAATTTTTGTAGCATAGGGGAGTTATTTTAAAATTTGGTTGATTATATCATTTTGAACATATCCTCAAACAAGAAATCCTGTTGATAATATTATAATTGTTTTATAACTTTGAAATCAGCGGCCCTGCTATAAGTGATACTTAAGTATTAACTCAGCCCAGCCTTTTCCTAAGTGCAGTTAGAAAAGCTGAAGAAATTATTTTTTAAAATCTAATTAAAGGGGCCAGGGATTTAGCTCTAATGGTTCTGCTGCTTGCCTCACAAGCCCAAGGTCTTGTGTTCGATCCCCGGTACCGCCAAAAAACAAAACAAAACTAAAGTTCTAATTAATCAATTATATTCATTAATCTATTAAAGTATTAATAAGCTCCCAAGAACTACTAGTACAAGATCTGGAGGAGAAAAGTTCAAGAAAGGGGTCCCGCAATTCCAGAGGGGCCAGTCGCTGGTAGAATCAGCAGTTTTTGGGGAAATAGCTTTAGAAGATAGACATTGGAGTAGAAGGCTTGTCATGGTAGGCATAACTTGGTAAACTCTGAAGTGCTGTACCCTAGAAGAAAAGATTAAACCAGAAATAGGCCCTTTCAAGGTTTATAAGCTCTAGTAAATCCCTTCACATATTATAAAATTCACCCTTTTATAGTAGTCAGTGAAGTAATTTTTGTTTTGTTTTTACATCTTCAAGTGTTGTTTAAAAAATACACAATGATGTCCAGTCCTTCACATACTCTCAAAAATACAGAAGAGGGGAAAACTTCCCAACTCATTCTATGAGACCAGTGTTATCTTCATGCTATAAACAGACAAGTTCATCACAAGAAAATATTATAGACCAGCATCTCTTATGTGTATGGATACAGAAATCCTTTTTTTTTTTTTTTTGGTATGGGGGATCGAACTTGGGACCTTGCACTTGCAAGGCAGGTGGCGGAACCACTGAGGCAAATCCCTGGCCCAGAAATTCTTAATAAAATACTAGCAAACTAAATTCAGCTATATTCAGTTATATAAAATGGTCACATCATGACTAAATGCTACCCTAGGAATGCAAGGATGATTGGACATTCAGAAATCAATCAGTGTAATCCACCACAGTAAAAGGAAAAAAAAAAAACCCACATGATAATCTCAATAGATGAAGAAAAAGGGTTGGGCAAATGCTAACATTTGTTTTGTGATTAGAAAACAAACTAAGAATAACTAGGAAGATCTTCTGTCTGACAAAAGATATATTCATACCTAACATTCTTTTTTTTTTTTTTGTATTGGGGATTAAACTCAGGACTTTGCACTTGCGAGGCAGGCGGC